CAAATAATTCTTGGACAATAATAAATTGGGTTGGGGTTAGCTTGAAAACTAGATTAGACTAGAGGTTTACTGTGATAACACATTGATTTATTTTTGTTGCACTGAAAGTTGCTAGCAGTAAGATACCAACTTCATGTAGGGTTCTAGCTTCTTTTTTTTAAAACGGTATGCAGTACATCACAGCCATCAGCCGTCCAGGTGGGATTAAAGCAAAATAGAAGCAAGAGCTTAGTTTCTGTTGCATCATGTAATACTGTCATATATTCGCATGTTTAATCTAACACGGTTTTATTTCCCAGTTTCTTTTTCATCTTTTTCTGCTACAATATAATGGAGAATAAGATAAATCCATTCACGGTGCGCAGTCCATTGGGGTTACATTTTGGTTAAAAAAAATAAAACATCGCGATTCTAAAAACTGAAAACTTCAGTTTGTGAATGGGTGTGGGGAGTAATTGATAACATGTAGTGTAAAAGTCAGTGGCGGCTGGTCCATAGAGGGCAATAGGGCGTGGCCCCACCCTGAGCCCCAAAAATATTGTATTTTTAATATAATTTAGAACTGTTGGAATAAATGTTAAGTATTTAACTGGAAAGTTATAATGAGTGTTTGATACCTTTTTTTTTGCATTGGATCAAACTGGGATGTTTACTGAAACGGATTGCCTGGCCCTACCAAAAGAAAATCAACCAGCCACTAATAGTAATATTAAATTTGAGTGGTTGGAAGATGAGAAAGGCACTTTACAATTACAGTACATTTACCATTCATTTACACAATAAAAACAGTTTTACCACGTGGTGGCTGAAATGAGTGCCTCCCCACCCTCACCCTAAATGCACATGCTTAGTTCTGCTCAATCCCCAGATGTATATGGACCAAGATAGCCTAATAACACGTTGTTTTAACAGTTTTATTTATCTTTTGCTGGCTCTGCCGCACTCTGAGATCTGTTGCTGAAGAGTGGGTTAAAATAAAATGTATCATTATTGACATATCTTCATACTGCACCAACAACATGAAACGGTATGTTCTAAGGCAGCAGTGCCCAATAGATATCACATCGGGTCAATACGCATGCAATTAATGCGTTTATCTATGCCATCAATGTGATACAATACTTTAACACAGTTGCCGCAACTTTGTTTACAGTTTTCCCGAAAGTAAACAAAGTTGCCCACGGAAACGAAACCTCCTCGAGCCGTAGTTAGTTAGATCGTAGACAACAAGAACGTAGTGAAGAAGGAGAGAGCTTTTTGCATTGGAAGTAAAACAGAGGCGCAACATACAACGGAGAACTGTACAGAGGAATTCCTCCATGTGACAAGCAGAAGGGGGATGAGTGGCAAACGGACAACAACGCACTGCTAGGCTACTTAGATCTCAACATCTACCCTGCACGGCACTCTGCAGAGGACCACCACAGTGTCCCTAAAAGACAGTGGTTTGTAAAACGTCCTGGCTAAATGTCAGGAGATTGATGTCACTTCAAACACAGCCGTCAAATGGTTGTTGAGAGCACAGCAAACTGCACGAGAACAGCAGGAAGTTGCTAGTTCGTGTTCCACCCGGTGGAATTATGCCTCCAAGAAGCTCACTTATGTTTAGTTTTGTGTTTAAAATACAATTAAAGAACAGTGCCTAAAATACACGCCTTCCAAAGAGATTATTCATTAATTATGAAAAAAAAAAACTTTTAATCGTGATTAATGCATTTCAAAATGTGGAATTAATTATTTTCTTTAGCCCTAGAATTTTTGTGACGGTTCCCTCGCTTTTGACCCATGAGATGCTCGTTGTTTCTGTATCGATTAGTTTTGCGCTCACGGTAGCGTGAGCGTCTAGATATCAAGAGACATTAATACAGTAAAATGTGGTTTTTCGTAAATTGCATTATTAACTCTTGAGGCCTCAGCAACGGATAATGGGTGCAATGGTAATGACATAAGGAAGGTGTGCTCCTCACTTGTTCAGCTGCAGCCCTTTGGCGCATTACTCAGGTCACCAGTGGGGAGCTATTTGTACTTCAGACATGCAAGATTTTACGGCATTTGACACCAGCCTGGGAACTGGGACGGACTGAGACGAGCCTGGGAACTCTGAAGCCCTTATGCACAGACGGGGGGAAAAAACAGATAGGGACCCTAACACCCTGGTCCTCATGAAGTCGGTGGAGCTTTACAGCCTTGCACCAGTTCTATTTCATCCTTACTGACCGCCAGAAGTAGTGCTTCACACTGGATTATCTTCTGTCTCACGTATGCGTAGGTCGAGTCTTTATACCAACAAAGTCACCTGTGACCCCGGATGACCTCCCATCATGTATAAGTACCAGTGTCATCCTGGGATCAGTCCAATTTCATCTTCTCGTTACGCAGGTATCTAAGCTTAAACAAGCTAATTCTCTAATATTGAGACATATTTCAGCTTATCCCGTGTTGCCTCGCGACAATCGGTTGGAGTTGCGGACCTCCCGCCCTCCAAAGGCTGCGACAAGCTGCCCCTCTAAGAGGGAATGGCGCGCTTCGGCATGGGTCTATCGAGTTCACCAGAAGCGCGAAGACTGCAATCAGTGAGATTGATTCAATTGTTTGTAATGCTGTTTGTTTTACGGGTTGGCAGCGGGCTGCTGCGCTCAGCTGACCAAGGGGCGAGTTGACCAGGGCGTAGAGGAAGTTACGCTGTCGCACCGCCCGTCCTAGTTAGCGCTGTATGCTAACTTGTGAGATACTAATTTAACGTTAGATCGAGACCAATCGTGTACATTGGTACTAACGTTGGTTGACTCGGTCAACCGTAGAATGTTGTATATTTGTTTTTATAAACATTGCGGCTATCACAGTTAGCATGGCGTTCCTATGAGGGGCCGTTTAGGACTTAACTACTGAGACACACACATTACAACTGAGACACTCACACATACTACTGAGACACTAAACACTCACGCACACTACTGAGACACTCATGCCATCTCATTAGTGTGTGTGAGAGCATTTCACTATACAACGTGAGAGCATTTCTTAGAGAGCTTAATGACCACACCATTACCCTAAATTCTATGTTGTCTATGGTTCGCTCCAGGGAAGGACCTGGTGGAGAGACTGTTGTTTTTTTGGAGTCGATATATTTTTGTTTTAATGGGTTTATTGACTTTAGAACAAGAGGAATAAATCAAGAAAACTGCCTTCCTGCGGTCCCACCTACAGCCCGCAATGGCCTTCCGTGTCGCCCCCGATATGATTTAACAATCGAGCAATTCAACCAGTGCTTGGGACTCGGTTTTAACTGGCAGGGAATTGCTTCTTTTTTTGGAATTAGCCGTCGGACTGTGTTCAGACATAGGCAACGTCTTGGTGTCAGATCTTTGGAATACTCATCATTGAACAATGAAGAACTGCAATCAACCATAAGGGAGATTTCCACGAATACCCCGAATGCTGGTGAGAGATACGTTATTGGAAGTCTGCAGGCTCGCGGAATCCGTATCCAGCGCTGGAGGGTCCGCCAAATTCTGCAGGAGATTGATCCCGTCGGCCGATCATTGAGACGCAGTCAAGCCATTCGCCGAAGGGTTTACAGAGTGCAAACTCCGAACGAGCTATGGTATGTGTGCCATAGGCCATTGACAGGTGTATTCTTACATAATAACTTATTAAGTTGTGGCTTGCCTAACGTTACTTTTTGTGATCTTTGTATTTTTTAATCCTGTAATTTTACTGTAACCATTTTCATTTAAATGATTTGCTCCTATACCCTAGATTTGAATTACCGGTCTTCCCCAACCGTTGATTTATTTTAGCTCCATTGAGCCAGAAGAAAACCATTTAGGCTACTCATGGTGAATGGCCAAATATCATCATCAGTATTCAAAACCCCAAGTAACTGGAACTAATGAACAAATAACACAAAGATTTTATCCTAAGGGTTCATTAGGTTTGGAAACAATAATTCTTTCCCATAGAGATGGAAAACTTGTATGATGTGACCCTACAAAATAGTGTTTTACCAGGATTGTAACAGTTGTCACTTTCTTTTATACAGGCATATTGACGGGAACCATAAATTGGTCAGGTGGAGAATGGTGTTCCATGGCTGTGTGGACGGGTACAGTCACACCATCATATACCTTCAGTGCCTCAACAATAACAGGGCATCAAGTGTTTTGAGCCTGTTTCAGCAGGGCGTATCTGACTTTGGACTGCCTTCAAGAGTACGGAGCGACCATGGAAAATATAGAGGTTGCCCGATTTATGCTGAATAGTAGAGGGTTGAATAGAAGAAGCATGATCATCACGGAATTCAATTATTTCTGTCTCTTTTACATTTTTCACAAGCAAGACATCCCAGTAGACTAAGTGAATCTCAGATTTGAATAATAATAATGAATAATAATAAATATATATTTATATAGCACTTTACGCAGCATTAAATACACAATTTTTAATAGAATAAGAACAAATAAAAGTAAGAATGGTTGGTGGTGGTGACAAGCATGAATAGTCTGTAAATGTGTAGCACCCAACTGGGTGATGCCTGGCTGTGGTGAAGCGCCAAAGCTATCATTGCATCGCAGAAACAGAAAGATGACATCTAAGATGGAACTTAGGGCTTTATCCATTGTGGATCAAAAACATCTACATCTTTATCTATACATAATATAAGATAAGTATATCATAGTGAATAGCTACTGTTAAGATAGATGAAAGATATGTTGCTGGTACTATTTGATTACTGTGGTATTTTTATTATGTTCTAGTGTGAATGTCAAGTAGGTGACATTGGATGTGAATAAAGAGATTGAGCTATTATTTGAAAACCAGCATTTATTGATGTGTAAATGTACCTGTATAAAAGAACACTGAAAATCAAAAGCAGTTTCTTTTTCATTTCTGGACATTAGCTGATCATCTATTTTTTGGCCAACTGAGTAAGCCTGATTTAAGTGCAAAGTGTCATAGCTGGCTCAAGCTATGACAAACATCAGGAGCAGAAGACGGTGTACGAGAGTAAAGAATGTTTATTAAAGTATAACCCTAACAGGGACAACTTAAATTATAACCCATATCCACAAACCATAACGATCCTATGAGGTGGGAAATCAGTAATTCAGTGGTGTAAGTGTGGATGTGTAAAACATGGTGTGGTGCGTGTGTGAATGAAAAGAACATAACAGGAATGTATGGAGACTGCAGCAAGGCGCGAAGGCCAGGTCTGCCTCCTCTGGATCCCCCTCTGGATCTTTTCTCTGGATCTCTGTGGCTCTCTCTGGCCTCCGTCAACTGGCAGGGGCATGGCATATATAGCTTTGGAGACACCGGGCCCAGGTGCTCTCCATTCGCAATCAAGACGAGGCCCCACCCAGCCTCACCTATAGGGCGAAAGTTAGGTAGACCCTACTCATACGTGTGGGGCATCACAAAAGTAAAACCCAGGAAGCTATTTATATTTTCTAGGCTTCTCATTGCAGAAGTCAAGCTTAGTCAGCTTTGCAAAATACCTCCCCGGCTTATCCAACAAGCAACCTTGAATTAAACTTGACAATACAAAAATTAAACTTTGGGGGCTGCTGACAGGCTAGTCCCGTTCATTCACGGTTGCAGTGTTTAGACGTGTCGAGGTCTGCTATGAAATCTAGACCATGCCATGTGATACTCTTAAGAACAGTAATGCAAAAAACAAACAGGACAAATGTAAACCCTCACTAGGACATGCATCCACTAACGTTAATAAAACAATAAAACGTGTTTCTAGTATGAATAAAATAACTTGCATTTCCAACATTTACACAAAATTGCAGTTGATACCGACATAACTGTGATGCTGTACAAACAAACTTTAAAATGTACATTCATCATCTATGGCATGCCAAAGCCCTGTGTGTTTCTTATTGCAAAGTACATGTTGCTCTTAAAACGACTGTACGTGCTATAGATAGGCAGTCGAAGACAGCTGATGCAGGTGTTGGCAACAGGGAACTTTTGTGCTCCACCACTTGGGTGAAGAAACTCAAGAGATGGCTGAGGAGAAAAGCCGATTGGTGATACTGCATCAGATCCAGTTGAAAATGCTAGGATGTCCCCCAACTTCTTTGCTCCATCTTCTTCTGTGGAATGAGCAGGACAGCACGGAATTATACAGCACACTTTATAACTTTGTCAGACTGGGAAGTAAATATAAATGATAGACTGACCAAATATATTAAATCATAAACTTTGCAATGTTAACACCAACATGTTTGTCTAGATTCTTTGAAGAAGTGCACAAACGAATTTTTCTTTATATCCTACACACCTTCAACATCTTGTAAATAGTCCCTCAAGAATGCAACTACGGTTTCCTCCTCTCTTTTCTGGTTGTTCCCCTCCTCTGACCATCGGATGTGGAACAGCCCATCAACCTGGTCAGCAGTTAGCGCCTTTGGATTGTAGCACATCATTGACTGAAAGATTCTGGATGCATCTGGATCTGCTACAGGACTCCAAGCGTTTTCAATCCATCTCTAAACCTACAGTAAATGACAGTATGGGAGGAAAGGTGCTTCAATGAAGAATTTACTCTTTTATATGCGAAAAAAGGATTTTCAAACTACATTTTAAATACCTTTCAAATGGTCCACGGACTCGATTAATCACCTGAAACATCAAGACATCTTCTACAAGTCTATCCCTGTCGTCAACAGTTTTCAGTGGCTTCAGACAGCCTGCATTGGCAAGGTAATCAAGGAGAGGTTGAGTCGACAAGAGCTTCTGTAAGCAGTCGAAGAAATTCTCTTCTTGGACCCCCAAGATCCACAGCTTCTTCAGTTTTTCCTTTGTCATCAGAAAATCTCACACTAATCCTGTGAGTCGGGTCATAAGAGATTCTTTTGAAGCCCCGAATGGCACCATCTAGCACAGCTGCACGGTTTATGTTGAACCGGTTGGTTATTGTTGATCTTTTCACCAAGCTCAGATAAGATCTCTTGAATAGGGACACTTGCAGATGAACTTTCCTTTCTGAAAGCAAACACTAATCAGAACTTTATGTGTGCGCAATCAGTAATTAGGGATAAAGGCCATTGGTACAATTTGTGGTCTTTTTACAAGAGGGCACTCCGGGCACAAGAGGGCACTCAGGTGGTTTTTAGTCTGACAAAAGCCTTAACAAGACCTCAAGTAATACAAAATATTGTATAATAAAAGGCAATTATCTGATGCTCACATCTGGTCTTCCATGCTGGCCGATAAGGCAGCATACAAATCCTCAAATTCTTCCTCATCTGATGAAAGATTGATCACAGAAAGGTATGCTCTGTAATCTGTACTTTCTAGCCACAGGTTGTTGGTCGGTGGTGGGGTGCTGTTTGCATCAAGGCTGCTGTCCACGGTTGTCGGCGGTACCAGGCTGCAGAGGGCGGTGCTCGCAGGTGCAAGGCTGCTGGTAGCTGACATGGAGTGGCAGTCTGGCTGGTCTCCGACAGGGTCATGTTGTCGGCTTGCTGCGGTGGTGACTGACGGCACCATTTCGACGCACTCCTCGGAGGAGGAACTTTCATCCAAATTGTCAGGCTTAAGAAGGGATACAATTTTCTGTAGTCAATATCACCGTCATTTTATCAACTAGCAAGTAGCCTACAGCAACTCAAACAGTGCTGTGGTGGTTTACATACATTTTGTGCAATATACTAACAAAAGCCCATATGAACGTTTTGAAAATAATAGTACATGATCAACTGGGTTAATTACAAATCAGGAGTTACAGATAACACCTTTATACATACCTCAAGAGGTCTGGAGGGTCTTACATATAGAGCCTTATACCTAAATACTTTTTGGATTATACTGGCGTCGAGTTGTTGGCCTTCCCTCAACCCTGGTGCGATCAACTTGTTGCCACAAGCCATCAGTAGTTCACAGCTCTACACAAATCAATGGGGTAAATTACTGTTGAAGACACACTTCTGGAATGGATGCAAGATCCATAAAATCTTTTTTTTTTTTTGTGATGTTGGTGGAAGAAAATTAACGTCACTGTACCAAATTGCGGACGGCGAAAGCTCGTACATCCCTGACCTGGAAGCTCGTAATTTGGCGCTGTTTCCGGTCTTTTTTCCTCCCATACATGTCAGCAAATCATTTACATGTCTAACTACTGCAGGAAAGTTACTTTGATGATAGAAAGTAGTAAGACTCACTGGGACGAGAGTTGGGCAAAGCTGGGGCAATGATCAAAGAGCTTTTATTGCGCTATTTGGCGGCGTTGACACGGGATATCTTATTGTGAAAGGCCAAAATTGGGTTCCTGCATATGTTGTCAGCATCGATAGTCCTTTTAGCAACCCTTTCACCAATGTATAATCTCCGCGAAAAACAAACTTTTACAATGACGATGGACGTCCGTCCAGGTCAGCGTCCTTTTACTAACTGGTTTCGAAAATTGTTACTTTCACAATTAAAACAGTATTTGGCTCGAACGGTAAGGAGCCAACGCCTACTTTAACACAGTTAAATCCCCTGAAAACATTTTACGATTATTTGTAACATTATTTTTTCCGGATAGTTAGCTAAAAACCTGCCAGGTCCGGAAACAGTGACGTTAATTGTCCAATTCACTTTACTATAGAGGATGCACTTGTCCATTTACTGTCATATGATAACCGAAGGGTCATTGTGGTCCTTTAAAAGTTAGATAAGTAAAGGACTCCTAATATAGTGCCATGGAGTCTGACTGTCTATTCTATCATCTTAATGCTAGCTTTACCTCACATCGTCGGGAATTTTCCCCTTAAAAGCATCCCGTATTTGAAGGAGGACTGCCCCATTGTCCCAGGTTTTGTCAAACTCGAAAGCATTCAGGATGTGCCCGTTTTTGTACAACTCCTCCTTCTTCCGCTGCTTGACAACTATGTCGTCTGTTGGACTAAACAGCAAAACAACGTCCTTGTTAAAGGTCCGATGGTACGGCGTTTTCTGTCGGACTCACAGAAAACTGTTGGAGAAGCTGTTGGACTTAAAAAAAAGTACAAGTCAGACAAGCTAACGTTAGCTACTTAGGCTAACACCAATATGCTAGCTAACAAGCAACACTACCGTTACTATGGAATGCCAGTTATCCTAAAAAATACAACAAAAATAATTCAACTTACTTTTGTCTTGGTTTGGATTTCCATGTGCTGTAAGTTGCCCTCGTTTCATAGCGGGGACAACAGTTCCGTATTTCGTTGCCTGGAGCTGGTGTGGTTTGCATGCTGCTAGATCCGGGTTCGTAGAGAGACCTTATTTCTGAATTAACTGCTGCATTCGAAGGTGTAGCTACAGAGCTAGTTATGGAGTTTATTAGCGTAGGTGATACAGAGTTAGAAATCAAGTTAATTAGAGTAGGTGACTGAAGCAAGTTTCTGAGTAGGGATACAGCTTCCGCTGTCACAAGCCTATTGTCCACTGCCATACCATTGACCGTTGGCCTTGGCTAAGATTGGCGCTTTTTCACTACTTTGTTTCCGCCTTCCGGTGTAACTGAGATGCCTTCCGGTGTAACTGAGATGCTCTCACGTTGTATAGTGAAATGCTCTCACACACACTAATGAGATGGCATGAGTGTCTCCGTATTGTGCGTGAGAGTGTCTCAGTAGTGTGTGTCAGTGTTTAGTGTCTCAGTAGTGTGTGTGAGAGTGTCTCAGTAGTTAAGTCCTAAACGGCCCCTCATACGTTCCCGCCCAGACTAACTTGGCTGATGTGTTGCATTCTGACTAATTAGGTCAGCAGTAACGCTTTGTACATTTGTTTATAAACATTACGGGTGCCATGGTTATCAGGGTGTTCTCGCCCAGACGAACTCGGCTGATGTGGTGCTAGTGGACTAATAAGTAGGTCAACAATAGCGCTGTGTACAATTGTTTTTATTGACATTACAGCTTCACAGTTAGCAGGGTGTTCCCGCGACCACATACAAAGACGTCACTCTCTAGGTCGTCTTGGACAAAAAACGTTAGTCCACCTGTTGTTCTGGCAGTGAATTGCTTTGCTAGACGTGCAAGCCTTTTGGAACCATTAATTGAAACGAGTGCATCGACACAACTGCGGGAAAAGACGCAGAAGCATGCGCCAGCCCTAACCAGATCAGAAGGTTTCCGCCTGCTCCAAACTCGAACAGTGTAGGTATTTATCAACTACTCATTTGTATTTTGAGTTGCTGAATAATTTAATATTTTTCAATATTTCCAAGAAAAATGCTATGGATTGTAGGTCTTACAATGGGTTCTCAAGGGATCTCAGACAATTTCACCTTGGGTGTATCGTTTTTTTTTATTTTGAGTTTTATTGTCCTTGTGTTGGTACGAACAGATTGAGGCCTCACCTCCCCGTTGCTTTCAGCTGTGATTCATATCCCAGCAAAATATAGCCCTACTTGGTCAAATTATGACAACAAAAAAATATATAACCTGGTGCCTAAAATCATACTGTATCAACATACATACATAAGCTTTGAGAAAAAAAACAGTCTGCCTGCCCCAATTTTTAGAGCAACAAATAACAAAGGCAATAGTTTCATGCTCTACTTGCTGAATCCTTCACGGTGACAGGTGGATCAGGTGTGAGTATGATTTATTAGGCTCCTACTCTCTAATGGTGGATGCTTCCATCTGCAAGATGCAGAGTGATTACTGTTCACTAATCCTTCCTGCCGAGTGGTTCAGAAAAATGACATTGAAAGTCATGTAGAATGGCTGATCAAGTGTATTTATGACCGGTGGGGAGACCGCATTGCTCACTTGCCAACACAACAGGGTTTTCATCCCAGTGAATTTCACAGAGAAGATAATGAACCGTTCTTTATTTAGAGCAGGGGTGGGCAAACTTTTTGGCTCAGGGGCCACATTGACTTTTAAAAGTTGACAGACCTGCCGGCCGGTATCAGATGGATAGAGAGTGTTTATGTCAACCAATATAAATTATAAGTAAGCCAATAACTAAAAAGTAAAGCGAACTTGCATTTCAGTGGGAACAGTGTTGTTGGTCCCCCTTTTTTGCCAGTGCATGATAGTTTGGTGTCAACTTTGTTGTGGCAATTCTCAGGACAGATCTGAGATGTTCATCCGTTAACTGGGATCTGTGGCGTGATTTGTTGTTTGAAGGCTCTCACTCTCTCATTTGTGTACATTTTCATGCACAAACTGATCTTTACCTTGTAGCTTCATGTTCAGCTCATTCATGTGTGTCAGTATGTCTACAGCAAAAGCAAAATCACAAAGCCAATCTGCGTCGCTCAGCTTTGGAAAACCATCAGCTTTCCCGATTGTTATACTGAGCGTGCAGGGCGGCGCAGTCCCGTGGGTTTGATGTGCGTTCGTTTTTACCGTATAAAACGGACCACGTCTCCGTGGCGCGCTTGCCTGGGGGGGGAGGTGAGCAGCGCAGACAGCAGCAGCTGGACTCGCCGCCTGATGCGGTGCAGAAAGGCACAGCTGTCCTCTGCCGCACGGCACGTAAAGACCGCTGTAACGCTTCTCCGTTCCCGACTTAAGTTAAGAATCATCGATGCTGGTCTTTTGCCGTCATCGAGCTTTGGGAAACTCAAGTAGGGAACGGAGAAGCGTTACAGCCAGCATTAACTGCCAGCGTTAACTGGTCGGGTCTGGCCCGCGGGCCGTAGTTTGCCCACCCCGATTTAGAGGATTCAAAACAGAGCAGTCGATAGCTGTGGTGGAGAATTCGGTTTCTTTAAAAGTGCTTTTAGAAAATGATTGCCTTTCAGGCGCATACTCTAACAAAGATTTAGTCTTTGTTACAGTATGCGTTTTGTTTAAGTACACCTCTCAATTACTAATTCTTATATGCATTTCCATTACACCCCTCATATGCCTACTTTCACACTTCACCAGTTTATTTTTCATTGTGTATTCATACTTTGTTAGTTCTCGAATAAAACCTTTGTTATTTCTTTCACCAGGTATATTATGACTGGTGAACGCTGCCAGCCAATATACCATCAAAGTTAAACTGGATTATCGACACAGATGAAGTCAACCAGGTTGTGTAAAATTGTCACCACTTAATGCCAAATGTCCCACACCTGATGGATCTCCTAAAGAAAAGAAGTCCTGTCGAGTTTTGCCCCCCCTCTACTTCTGCTCATGCTATCCTTTGTGGATCCTTCCTTGTTCTTTAAACCAAGGGGTCGTGTTGGAAGTGAGAACTGGATGAATTCATTGGATGACAAAAAAATATGTTGAAAAGTCAAATGTAGCGCAACATTCCAGGTGCTTTTTAGAATGTGCCCCGTTGGTTCACATGGGACACGATCAATTGCTTTGTGTCTTTGTCCTATTCTCCTCCCCTCCTACTCGCTCTGTTTGTGCTATCTAATGCTTCGTACTACATCTGCTGCTCGGACCGTCTAACAATGATGTGGATGTGTTGCTCTTACAATACAACACAATATACAAGGTTAAACCTTGAGTTGAGTTATCAGTTCCACCATGGAGACATTTCCCTTATAAACTCTTTTTTAATTTTTAATTTGAGGCCCAAAGGAGTCAGACTAACCATTATTTAATGAAAAGCAATGCCCGGAGATGGGTTAGAAAGAAAAGAGATAAATTGTGTATGAATCATAAAACAAAATTTTGTTTATTAGTTTAATCCTCTCACAACCGCATGGATATTTCAAGTTAGCGTTAGGTGGGGTGATCAAGTGCCATACTCTGGTTTCTGAAAAGTGAAACCGATTAAACTTGTATACTTTCTAATCCATCATGGGGGTGATGGCTCTACTTCTCTCGATGTATTCCTTCAGTAAACGTTTTCAAGAACTTCAATACATTATGATTTTCATTTGTATTGGGAGATAATTAATGAGCACAGCTGATGAACATTCTGTTTGATTATCTCCCCACAAAAACAGTGAACAGGACTCAGTGGGGACACTTGACGGGACGCTCGGGGCAAACGAGCGGACGGGAGAAACGGTGGTGCAAACAAAAAGAAAGTATTTGTAAACCGGCAAGCTCGCCGTGTGCGTGCATTTGTCCACGAACCTGCGGGGTAGCACTGTCACGGCTACAATAAATATATACGTTAACCAGATGAAGTTATTGAAGTATATATTTTTAATCAAACTTTAACAGAAATTTTTAACATCAAATCCATAGCTTTTGAGTTAATGACATTTGATAAAAAAAAATCTCAAGCACTGCATGTGTGCAGAAGTGATAGTTTGCCCATAATCCAATCCATCAAGTATTCGTCTGCTCTCAGGGATTGGTAGCGAAAAGATATGTCACCGTCGGAGTCTCGATTCCAGTTGATAACAGTGAGGATCACAAAAGGTAGTGGAGTGTGTATGAAATTGCAATGTCAAGTATATGTTGAAAGATCCTATCACATCAAAATAATTAAGATAGTGGCAGCAATTTGCAGCAGTTCACAAAACCTACTTGTAATTTGCAGACAATGTAATCTAGTAATAATACCAGAAATACTGCTAATAATTAGAAAAAGAACTGCCTCTCTAGTCTGTGGCAACAATATTAGATTACCAGGGTTAGGAGGAATCCTAGAGCGCTGATTGTGGTGTCTCTTGTGGAGAAGCTGTTGAGTTAACAGACGGTGTCAGTGATGATGGACTGGTGCTGTCTTGGAGGGTTCATTGAAAAGATGGTTGCCTGGTGTGCAGGGTTGGTAGAAACGTCTCCTGCTTTTCAACTTTCACCGCGGTCTTATGTAGTAGTTTCATGAAGAGACCCAGACAGTCATAACTAACCTATGCAGCAGAGCAAATAACATGCTGGAAATGGAGGAAAGTCAAACTAAACAATGAGAAGTAGATATTGCATCTTTTTGGATGCTTGGTCTAAGGGACATCCATTTAAATAGTATTTTAGTTGTAGGAATTACTGACACTGAGATTCAGTTCTCAAAAATAAAACTTTTTTTGTGAATCATTTAAGATACGTTGTCATGAATGTTATGAGCTCTACAACCCTCATCAGTTAAAGCTGCAATAATGTAGATATTTTAGATGTTTTTGTGTGTGTTAGATGTTGTTCTGTGTATAGGTTTATATGTTAGCAAGCTATTAATACAAGCATGCATTTAAAGTTGTCCATGTTTAGTTTGTGGGCAGAAAAAAAAAGTACT